GAGTTCAATCCCCGGTTCCGCAAAAAAAAAAATAAATAAATAAAATAATATCCAGGAGAGAAAGAAAGTATGATATAAAACACATACGCACACAGAGTGATTAAGAGAAAGAATTGGTTTGTCCAACTCTCTGCTTAATAAAACATTACAGTAAAATACATTCTTAATGTAATTGTAGGTAATTTACAAAATACAAGAGAACAGTTCTTAATGTCAAAATTCATAGGTGGGGAAAAAACTTCTGTATTTCCTGGTTACTTTTCAGGCAGGCGGTGTTAGCAGCGGTCACATTTTAAAACCTGTATAGACTGCCCAGGCTTGTTTGCAAGTTTTCTCACGCGGTGTATTCTACTGCCAGTGGAAAAAAGTTTCTGATCTATTTTCTTGATTCAGTTAATATGATGAAGGTATTTTTTAGTGTGAGGCCTCGAAATGATCAGTTTATCATTGAAAAAGTTTCGGTGGGTACTTTCTAATAAAATTTCTACTTTGTAACGAATGTTCCCTGGATCATTCGTTTTGAATTTCTTCTTTGTGAAGCAGTGTTGACTTAATTTTTGTCGCTTTGCCGGTGTTTTTTTCTCCTGGCCTTTGTACCATCTCTTTGTATTTTTTCTTAACATGCTTCATTATTTTTACCTTTTAATCCTATGTGTAGTTAAGAAAGATTAGGAATATTGGTTATATCTTTTTTCCCTCGTTATTGCTGAACATTATCCATTTGTCTAGCTTTTATCTTTATTTCTGAGGAGTTGTGGAATATTTTTAGTATTTTGCTCAACGTGTAGGGAATTTGAAGTGAAAGCACGATCTCAGATTCTGTTGAGAAGCCCCGCCTGTTGAATCTTTCAGAATTTCGAGGTGTCTATCACTGACAAGGGCTTTCCACAGCATCAGAAATGTGATGAGAACGGTTGTCGTGCAGTGTCCCAGTAGTTTTAGTGTGGAGCCATTTTTGCATGTTTACTTTACCAGAAAATTCTTCAGAGTACAGTAGTGTCTTATAGTCCTAGTCAAAAATTTGGAAAGCCATTGTATGCCCTCAAGGTAGGTTTTAAGGTTATATTGCTAATGGGAATGTAGTGTGTGTGTGTGTGTGTGTGTGTGTGTGTCTTAGCCTGATGTGAGATTTTAGAAAGATTAACATATCTTAATTTCTCAACCCTTCTAAGAAAGGGAAATCAAGATGTAAACTTTTACTTTAAAAAAAACTTTTTTTGGGGTGGGTACTGACAAGGCACGTGGTACCCGGGATCCAGCCCTGGTCCCCCGCGCCTGCGGACGCTTGCCTAAGCAGGTGCTTTAGACTGCTGAGCTGTCTTGCCAGCCCTACTTTTTAAAAGCTTTCTACATAGTGTAATTGATTAAGCCACAGATTATACTTCTTTTATAATGCTATTATAATTAGTGAAATTCTAGTCACAAATACAGACTACATTTCTTTTATGTAGGGATTATCAGTGGAGATTTATCTGCTGTTTGAAATTCTTCAGTTTCATGTTGCTGTAAGTCCTAAGGAAATATTTTAGAAGACGTACTGTGTTTCGTTGGGCAGCGTGATTGTACTAACTGATCGGAGGACAGCGGTCCCTTGTGAAGGCTTTTGTCTCCACGTTTTTAGTCCGTTGCGTTGGGTTGGAGGAGGATAGGAAGGGAGAAGTTTCTCCCTTTTAGACTTAAAGTAGTGAGGTGCTTCTTGGTATGCGACTGCGTGGGCTGCTTTCTGTAATAATTGTTAGCTCTTCAGCTATGATAGCACTTAAAGACACTTTGATGTTTGAGAAAATTGTATTTGTAACGTATAAGTAATCTATTACTAGTGATTTTGAATAACGCAATACTTTTTCTTTGTTGTATTATGCAAAATACTCCCTATTATCCGGTGGTATGGGTATCAACAGTAAAAATATTCAGTATGTAATGAAATGGAATTAATTAAACAACATTGCACAACCCCAAAAGTTCATCAGCACAGTTATATTGCTTTAAACATTTTATTTCCCACATTAAAATAATATCTAGTTGTCTTTGTGTATTCCTTGTCCACTGTCAATATTTGTATGTATTTTGACATTTAGAATTACCATTTAAAAAATAGTTACATTTCTGAAGTGTTGTTCTACTTCTG